TTTTAAGAATTTCTTTAAGAATTATTTCAAGGGTTTTCGAACCTATTATTTTAAAATATGTAAAGTAAAAAATGTTATCTCGATTGTCTTTGTTGTTTTTTGTGTGAGTTTAAAGTTCTTTACGATATAATCGACTTGAAACCTCGCCCCCTCCCTGTCAATTCCAAAAAGATGGTGCGAAGAAACAACAAACATATTGAAAACATATTGAATCACACTCATCACAGTGACATCTGCCGGACTTAAAACCGAACTAGAAAGCAATTATTAATGAAGCAGTGGAGTAATTTCATTCTATTCAGCCATAGGTAAAGCTAAGAGTTAATCTGTGGTAAAACTTTTGGAATAGTTTCAATAACTTTTATGTTCCTATTTTATTTGCAGCGTCCTTTTTTTACATAAATTTTATGTACATTTCCAAAACCAAAGGGATTAGCGGTCTATCATGTTAAATGTTTTTGAATCCGTTAGTAAAATCAAAAATAATCAATATAGGAGAAATAATCAGTATCACTTCCTGAAAAGAGGTACACTCTGGGCTGTGAGGAAGAAGGGTGGTAAATGTCCACCTATAGTGGTAGAAAAAAAAACGAACTACTAGTTATTGGGTCCCGTTTTACCCTTTGGGTATGATACCCTATTCGACCTTTTTTTAGAAAGTTTTATTCAATTTTGAGTGACATAGTAGGCATAGATGACTTACGGAACTGGCACGTGGTCCTGCACTGCTGGCCGTATGAGGAAGCTCAAAGTCGCTCAGCGAGCTATGGAGCGGGCTATGCTCGGTATTTCTCTCCTTGATAGAGTTCGCAACGAAGACATCTAAGGTAAAACAAAGGTAACCGACATAGCTCAGAAGGTTAGTAAGTTGAAGTGGCGATGGGCCGGCCATATACCTCGTAGAACCGATAACCGCTGGGGAAGAAAGGTTCTCGAGTGGCAGCCCCAAACTGGCCATCGCAATGTGGGACGACCCCCCACTAGATGGAGTGACGGCCTGTGCAAATGTGCGGGAAGTCGATGGATGCAGGTGGCTCAGGATCGTGCTTCGTGGCAGTCTGTGGGGGAGGCCTATGTTCAGCAGCGGACTCAAATAAGCTGAAATGACGATGATGAGTTAATAGGCAATACTATATCCTCTGCTGCCGATGTCTGTATTCTATATATGAACTATAAGAATGTGGAATTTATAACAAGAGTGCTTAACGATTTAAAATACAGACAAGTAAGACTTAAAAGACCCTAATTAATACTTTTAACCAGATGATTAATATTACTTATCGAAAAAATTTAGAATAAAGGGTTAGTCTTACTTACTATTTTTGTTAAAAAAGCGTTACAACAGTGTGTCCGCTCAACGAATAAACAGTTCTACAAGCTTCATTATTCCCCGTTGTATATAGTTTACTTATCAAACGACGATAATAGCGCATTCATCGTTTAATGTTGATATCTTATTTAAACAGTAAATACCAACTTTTTCTATTGGTGATAATTAATTAAATATTTGGAACGATGTCTTTAAATTTTCTAAGGCCCTATATTATGAGTAAGTATTTGTATTGCTTAGAAATTACTAACATCAATTTTATTTTTCAAGCACAACTTCAAAATCGTATAAAAATAATTCATATTTGGAAATGTTCGAGAGACCTTTTTGAATCTAGTTTTCGCCAAATCCTTCGCCTTTAAAGCCTGTGCCACAGTTCGCAGTAAAATTTTGATCTTCTAGCAATTACACGAGATGAAATATAATTTTTTAAAAAAGGTTTTATTGTTTTCTGATTTATATCGGTTGATTTTCGTTGTCGAAGATGGAAAAATATGGTTTTTTCGTAAATTTTCGTAAAAAAAAATCAAAAGTTCTTTAATCAAAATAAATTGATAGATTAGAAGAGAATCAGGACAAGATTACCTACACTAATTTGTAGAAATGTCATGTACAAATCTACACGTTCATCGATTAATGTCTTCTAGTAAAAGATATAGGATAGGATCCTCTGTCTGAACTTCTTCCGTCAATGACTGAAGAGATATAAAAACAGAAAAAGCAATCTTAGTTTTAAAAATTATTCAAGAATAATTCAATGAAATAATTGCATCAAAAAATAACAAAAAGATTAAGACCGCAGAGTTTCTTGCCGGTTCTTCTCAGTGCAGACGTTTAGTGAGCCGGTGGTAGATTTTTTGTTAACGTTCAATAATAGCTTAACTTAAGCGTATATTGAATAAAGATACTTTGAATCTGAATCTTGACTCAGAAAATATCTAAAATGGAATAACGAAAATGATGGAACAATTATCCTTCGCCACTAGTCCAAGTGCTTGTGAAGTGCTTTATTACTGAAACCTACGATAGCAACGATAGCTATTCGCTTTCAAAAAATAAAAGAATCAAACACAAAATAGTCTATAATCCGCATATAAAAGCGCCCTTGATCTTTTATTTACCATCATACATACTTGCGCGATTGATCCCTCGCTCGCAACGCGTGTACGTATCGGGCACCCAACCCGATGTCGTAAAACTATATAGCTTCGTTATGAAGTGTTCCGAGAGATAGGCAATTAAAGTTGTGCTGTTATGATGATCGATAAGACAACTTGATGAGCTGGCCCTGTGCGCAGTGGGAACTCAGTCTGTTTTCACGGGATGCGAGGAGATCTGTTCACGCGCGTCCTGTTACATCATTGAAATTCCCGTTACCAAAACTGTCCTTCGTCGTTAAACAATTGAAGGCAGTAGCTGTTAACATATCAACAGCGCTATAAAACGTTCTTAATAGTAACGTGCAATCCGCTATCATTTAGGGGTGCGATTAACCAATGGATATCATAAATCCACTACTAACATTGTATGCAAACTGTGGAGTTGATACTAAAATGTTGTTAATATAAAATTGTTCCCCGTCGACTGTCATTTCTTTTTATCAACAAACTGTGTGGAGCGGCTGTACATTTTACGGCGGTGTCATTGTAATGAATGAAGGTAAGCTTTTTCCAATATACGAGTACGTATATACCTATGGTCATACACATGCATAAATAGACTGAGAACGCTGAAATTACGAAAACACACAGGTGTTAGATTACGTATATACCTATGGTGATAAATCCGCTAAAGATAGGCTGAAAACGGAAAATCACGAAAACACAGGTGTTATTGATGCATTGATAAATATTTTTTATCAAATTTGTAACAAGCGAAAATTGTTTTACTATTTCACCTTCATATTTGATTTATGGTTTTGCGTTCAGTCCGTAGACTATTAGGAATTCATCAGATGTAGAACAATTTGCATTCTCAACTCCAGCTTCGGTAAAAGCTTATAAGGGAAATCATTTTCATTCTCAGATGTAAAAACAAAAGCTTTTTAGTAATAGTAGTGTTGAAACTTTTCTCGCGGTTTTCTTTGGAACAGGTGAGGGAGTGGATTTAAGCCTGTTATACATTCGGTGTTGAAATTAACAAAAATACTGTTGGGTTCTTGAGTGTGTTTTTTTTTCCAGTTGTGTCATTCAAATGTCCTTTTCGGCACTAGAGATAGCACACTGAGAGGAACATTTTTAGTCATGTTTTGGAGTCGACCTAGATACAGTAGATGTCGTAGGTACTGCTGCGTGAGGCATTAGGCACACATCTGCTAGGACACTGTAGAGGCTAATAGCCAACTTGTTTTATTCCTCTTCATAGCGTCTCGCAACTTCCATGGATGCACTCGTATTATAAAAACTCTTTCAGTCTGCTTACCTTGATAATTGCGAGTTGCATGTTCTGGTGGAAGAAAAATATGTGGGTCAAACGACATACTATGCTACTTTACGAACAAGGGGGGCGGGTTGGTATTTTGACCATTTTATATATTTTCCACACGTATTAAAAAATAACAATAACAAAATTCTGGGGAGTTATTTTTCAAAACTACAATTAACTGAACGGCAATAAAAACGAATGAACGTAAAAATACTAACTTTTACAAAATCCATTTAAATAAAACTCGTGACTACATAGACAGTCGCGACTGGTGTCCTCACAGGTTGAGGCTGGTTATCTACTTGTAAAAAGGATAATATGTTAAAAATCGCCAACTACAAATCATAAAAAAAAAACTAATGTCTGTTTTCGGAGAAAATGCGAGTGCGAAAGTGTATAATTTCACCCATCTATACCATGTTCTAGTCCTTAACGGCTGCTACCCAAAGTGGTCAAAAGAAATTATAAAATTCCGTTTTGTTAAATCCCAAGGCTTCCATCTAGATAAAATATACTTATATAAAAAAACATATATATGTATATTTTTTATTAAAACTTACTCATAAACAACGCACATCATATTCTGGTGAAGAAGTATGTAATTTTGATTTGACCTTCAGTTTTCCTTTTATAACGTACTTTGCTTTTCGCCCGCGACTGCGCTCACGTTGAAGCCCTTAAATAAAAATCTTTTAATCCTTAACAACACTTTTTACAATTAATAGCCTTTCCGATTAATATATGATTTCTTATGCTCTAGACTATCTGTGTGCCAAATGTCATTTAAATCGTATCAGTAGTTTTGGAGTGAAAACGAGACAAACAGGCAGAATTACTTTCGCATTTATAATATTAGTATGGATATCGACACTAAGGAAAAATTCCACGCATATTTTTGTGTGAGACGGTGGCAAGGGAGCTGGCGGGTCCTCTGATGTTAAGTGACATCCACCTCCCATTGACATATGCAACGTCAGTAGAGTTGCAGATGCGTTGCCACCTTTTAATAAAGTGGGACCCGGCTGCCTTACTCACCAGGCGAAACGGCCTGGTACAACACTTCTACTTTACGCCCTCTTATGTGGGGCGATCGGAGGAACCTGTCAATTTGTGCAATAGCCAACATTTTTGTGTGGCCCTGCCACAGTTATAAGAAAAACGGATCAAAACGTTTTACAAAGTTATTAACGTTTTGATCCGTTTATATAAGACGCAATTGGCATCTTAGATAAACGGAAACAATAAGATGCAATTTTGCCGTACAGGTGTGGAGGCGAGTAAGGCGGAGCGCAACGAAGCCCCTGTACCGTTTGAAAAAGATTCGGCATCAGAAAATACCGTTATGCATTGCTTAGTTGGCGGTGCTCATGCATTCATTCTCAGGGTAACAATGTATTTAACTTAAACTATCACCAGTACCATAAGTTCACCATTACGGCACATGAAAAGTGCTTCAAGACAATCCCTTTGAGCATACTTGTGAACTTCCATAGACTGCAAATAGAATTTCATCCAAATAAGTTAAGACTCCACAGTCCAAACCAAAACTACACATACCATCCGCATCCCATACTTGCTAACGTTCAACAAGGAATCGTCAAAAAACGTACTTGAGAACGCTAATAGGTTCACCTTGTTAACATGTTCAGTACTTATTATTATTTTGGGGGGATATTCATTTGTTTCCTCGTCTGGTTGGGTTTATAAATAAAAATATAGATACATATTGCATATATAAAATAAATATTATGGATAAAAATAAACATACTTATAAAAATAGCCAGGAAGCTAAGGAAGCCCTCGACAGGGGAGACCAAACGGCCGAGGGTTAGGGCGATAGGAAGAGAAACCGGCGGACGATGCGGGCGGTATCGAGGAGCACCGCTTTCTGCATTTGAGCTTGGAGCGATCCGTCCCGGAGTCCCAGTCGCCTCAGATGTTTGGAGAGGCTGACTGGGATTAACCCATTCGCAGACACGACTATCGGGATAATTTCGGTCGGCACACCACCCCACATGTCGGTCACCTCGTGAGCCAGGTCCAGATACTTTGTCTTCTTATCTGTTTCGGCTTTCACGAGGTTCTCGTCATACGGAATGGTAATGTCGACCAAAAATACCCGCGACTGTGCCCGGTCCATCACCACGATGTCAGGTTTGTTCGCGACAATCGTCCTGTCCGTGATGATGGGCCGGTCCCAATAGAGCCTGGCGCGGTCATTTTCGAGCACGGCCTCCGGAGAGTACTTATAGTACGGCAGTTTCCGATCCACGAGGCCGTATTTCAGAGCGAGCTCCTGGTGTAGGATTCTGGCTACTAGGTTGTGTCTATGCAGATACTCAGAGTTAGAAAGCATGGAATAACCGGAAATAACATGCCGAAGCGACTCCCCGGGATGGCGACAAGCTCGACAGATGTCGACGGTGCCATCCTTTAGGATATTAATAACCTGATCCTGTATCGCACAGACAAAACCTTCGGTTTCTCCAAAGAGGTCACCGAAACGTAGCCAGTTGAGGGAGGCAGTAGTATGTACGAAAGGCTCGTGTATGGCCTTGTAGAACTCCCGTGGAGCTCTTTCTCCTTCCATACGGCCTCCCGGTCGGAAACGCTCAGTCCTACCCCGGGTCCTGCCATGGCTCGTTGGCTAAGGATAGAGGGGTAAGTCCTTTATCACAACTAATGACGTCCGTGTAGATTGACTCATCCGATCTCGCCAGGAAGTAGTTGCGGAGGCTGTACACCTCGCGATTGTGCATGGTAAGGGCGCTCAAAAAGCCCCTCCCGCCATGCTTCCGCGGCAGGTACAGCCTCATCACTGACGATCTCGGATGATGTATCCTGTGGGACGTCATAGTTGTGCGGACTTTTCGGTCCAGGGCATTGAGCTCAGTTTGAGTCCACCTGAGTATGCCAAAGGTATACATGAGGACTGGCATGACCCAGTCGTTAAATGCGCGTGCCTTGTTCACGCCTGACAAATGGCTGTTAAACACCTTTGTCAGGCGTGCAAAAAACACATCACGAACTGACTGTTTCATGCCAGCCTCATCGATACACATGTTTTGTGACATACCCAGGTATCGGTATGTTTCAGCCTCCTTTCAGAGAGGGTCCTTATGTTAACGGGCATAGATAAGTCTATGCCCTCCGTATTAGTGACCTTACCCCTTTCGACATGAAGGACCGCACACTTATCCGTCCCGAGCTCCATTTTGATAGAATTGCTGAAATCACAAGTGACTTTAAGCAATTCCATCAAATGGGAGCGATTGGAGGCGAATAATTTGAGGTCATCCATGTAGAAAAGGTGGGTCACTTTTGACCCTCCTCTCCGAAGCTGAAATCCTCCCCCCGAGCTCCCCAGTAACACGCTGAGAGGATTCAGGGAGAGGCAAAACCATATTGGACTCAAACAGTCGCCCTGGAAAATACCCCGTCGTATCCTTATCCGGTATTCCGCAGCCGTCATCCGCTCGCCTAGATGACAAAGGATCGTACTCCATTGCCCCATACAGTGCTCGAGGAAGTCTCTTACTGTACAGTCTACTTTGTACAGTTCGAGGACCCTCTTTAGCCATGTAGTCTAGTCTATCCAGGCGGCGGAGAAGTTCCGACGGTTGCGTTTAACCATTTTGCCAATGACCGCGACGATGACAAGCGGTTCCTTGGTTCCACGACCGCCGCCCCGACATCCATTCTGAGCAGGAGACATAATCCGATTCATATTAATATGTCGGGTGATTCTCATGCTCAGAACAGATGTCAGTGTCTTATAGATGGTGGGTAGACACGTGATGGGGCGGTACTTACTCGGGTCTGTGGTAACCTGATCTTTCGGAACCAAGTGAGTGACCCCAGTAGTAAAGAGGCTCGGGAGCGACCTCTGATCGAGAGCCTCTTGGAACTGTCGGGCGAGCACAGCATGACACACCACGAACCCCTTCAACCAGTAGTGATGCAGCCCGTCGAGTCCCGGACTTTTCCAGTTCGGGGCTCTACGGACTGCCTCAGCTACGTCGTCGGGTGTTATGACGACGGGGTCCATGGGTGTATCTGCGCATTGGCTCGCCACGACTTGCGTCCAAGGGCCCTCGCTGTGGTCTACGGGCTCTGACCACAGGCTGCGCCAGAAGGCGACAGTTTCGGCCTGGTCTGGTCCTTGGCCCGTTCCACAGCTCATTGGTCGCTCCAAAGATTTGTAGAGCCTCTTTTGGTCACTCTGGAAGAGGCGATTCTGGCTAAACCGCGCCGTCCTCTCGGTATATCTCCGAATCCGCTTCCCCCAAGCAGCGATACTCTGCTTCAGGTCATCTATGCGCTCCGTTAGTTTTTGCGTAATATCCGGCTGGGACAAGTTGATGTTGGTCCCAGCGAACACCATCCTAACGGTGCGCACAATTCTGGGCCTATTATTGCCCGACCTGAAGCTTATCAGCCTGCCGATGACGGCCCTTACCTTTGCGATACGGTCCTCAATTCTTCTTCTCCATACTGGGATAGTGCTACCTGGTCTAGTAGCACGTCCAGTCTTGGGAAGTTTGGCGCCAACGATTCGGCATACAGCCAGTGCAGCGCCAAAGAGAATTGAGTCCGTATCGCAAAGATCCCTGCTGGCTTCCAAATAGGTTGCCAGCATCGGGTTAAGAGACCTCACGACAGACCGACTCCGCTTACTCAGGGGTATGCGGGGGAGACGTGGTCGATTCTCGAGAGGCGTTTCGCGCACCTCCAGAATTGCCTCCTCCAATAGGCTTCTCATCTGCTCTATATCTTGGGCGACTATTCCATCATCGAACGAATCTACAGGAGCCGGGGGGGTAAAACGCGGCCTCCGCTTCCGCTTGTAACCCCGCGGGATCCGCAGCTTGCGGGGTCCCATTTCCAGCTACTGTATTTTCGTCCGATGAGGGAACAGCCTCACGTCGAAGTCGTTCGAGTTCGGCATCATTTCCACCATCGACCAAACGATGACAAATACATGCATAGTCTCTTGTTTCAATAGACAATACATTATATCTATTTTAATAATTATAATAAGCTCGGTTTGATACTGTAAGATAAAAAATTCTCAATAATTTTGATGTTTCTCGCATATTCGGAATTTCTATGGTTCTTCTATGATTCACAGATTTCCAGCTTCTTCGGATTAGCACCGTTAAGATTCGAACCTCGCTGCAATGGATTCACAGTCTCTATATCAAACGCTATGTGCATCTACGGTTACGTACTCGTAACAATTCTGGGTAAGAAATATTAATGTTTATTAAGATATCGATTCAATTTACTTATTTTATTATTTATTTACTATATTTTTTTTATAAAAATACATTTAAGTAATTATAAACTTGTAAGCTATTATATACAAGCGTATACGTTTGATCTGTTTTATAAGGATTATAATAGAGTTGATTAATTTCAGCCAATGTTTTCTATGTTGTTTACAAATTCAGCAATGTTGTGAACAAATATCAAGTGACGTAAACATGTCGAAGCTACATTTTTATACGTAGGTACATATTACTAACAATTCCATAAGATTACCACAGTAACAAATTGTTATTTTACCCATTTGACACAGAATCCTACATATTTTAACCGACTTCAAAAGGAGGTGGTTCTCAATTGAACTGTATTTTTTTATTTTTTATTTTTGTTACCTCATAACTTTTGACTGAGCGAACCGATTTAGATGATTCTTTTTTTATTTGAAAGCTGGTGCTTCCCATGTGGCCCCATATTAATTTCATTGGTATCGAATCATAAAATCAATTATAAAACGAGTACAGAGCGATATATTTGAAATCGGTTTTGTTTTTCGTTAGTAAATAAATGGTAATTATATACGCAAATATTGCGCAGTTTTCTCAACGATATTCGGCCTGGTAGCCGAGATCAACGTCGGCATAGAGCTCTCCGTGCGCATGTCGTCCAGGATGTCGCAGGTGGTGTCGACCTGCGACGTGCTGGTGGTGGTTGTCACCGCCGGCGCCGGGGTGTACGGCGCGCCCAAGAGGATGCGGAACATGCTCAAGTTCATGGAGAGCATCGCCTCCGTAAGCGTGTTTCTACTTATTAGTTATGATGATTATTTTTTTGGGGTTCCATACTCTAAGGGTAAAACGTTACCCTTTCTGTCCGTGTGTCTGTCCGTCCGTCTGTCATCAGGCTGTATCTCGTGAACCGTGACATATAGACAGTTGAAATTTTCACAGATTTCTTTCACCGCTATAACAACAAAAACAATAAAAACAGAAAAAAATAAATAAAAAATATTTAAAAGGGGCTCTAATACAACAGCCGTGATTTTATTGCCGTTTTTATAGATGATGTTATGGGATGCTTCGTGCGCGAGTCCGAATGGCACTTGGCTCTCTCTTGACACTCAGGTTTTTTTTGTCAATATAGATGCTGCAAATTTTAGTGTAGTCACCATTCGCTGAGTTTTTATGCTTTTATTTACTGTTTTTTTTTTCTCACAAAAAGTTCTGTTCTTCGTCATTAAAAAATTATTGTGGTTATCATCTATATTGAGATGGCACTCACCTAGCCTGTTATTAACATATTATGTTTAAATTGTCTTAAACTAGTGTTCATCTTGTTGGTATAGCAATTATAAATAAATAAAATATTTTACACATCCCTCGAACAACAAACAGTAAGTGTGTTATTAGTGTATGCCTATTGATGACTTGGTCGGGCATTGACTTCGACTTCTCGGAATTTGGGTTCGATTCTGAAGACCAAATGCAAATTATTTGTATAAAATGTTCATATTAAACACGGTTATCGTAATATTTAATGTGAATAATGCTCTTTATATGTTAAAAATCACAATATAATATACTTATAAGTTCTGTGTTGATAATGACATAAATTTTTTTCCCATTTTTTTTGACCTGAACTAATTAAGGCGCTGTATGCAGTAAATTTAGGTTTTTCAAAAGATTTTTTAACAAAATCTATACATTTTATAGAAGCAAAAAAATATATGTTAAACTTGATCTTACATTCTAATGGACCATTGTTTTCAAAACATATTCTCGATATATTTTCTCGATAGAAAAAAATCACGAACCTACCTCTAAACGTGAAATTCAAATAAAAAAAATAGATATAATAAATGAACAAATCTTAATGAAATTAATATCAGTGGTGTAGAATATATTAATAAAAAGGACTGTTGTCTTAATTTGTTGATTGAATTAAGATATTTGTAAATAGTTAATAGCTTAGTTTCCAAACAAAATATTTATAAGTTCTCGTTCCGTGTTGTCAAGTATCAGTTCAGTTGTAATTAACCAACAATTTGTTTTCAGGTGGACCACAGCATCGGAGCACATTATTCGCGAAGAACAGAGCGCAAATTGTGCGCAATATTGTTAGCTATCCTCATCTTCTTCTCGATCCTGATTGCCGACGACTTCTGTTTCTACGCATTGCAAGCCGCAAAATATGGACGGCAGTGTAAGAAACCTACTACCCTTAAATATGAATTCGTTAAAAAACTCTTGAATCAACCATAATTTCATACTATGATAAAGTAAAATTTTTTAGACTGATTCTCAAGTGCAATAGTAATAATGATTGATTAAATGAATATGTCATTGAATACGTGTCATTATAGATTTGAATCCATACATGATTTCATCACAATTTGTTTTCCAATAAATAACATATTTTTTACGAGAAATGATGTCAAAGCAGGAGGTGACTCACCTAAAGCAGCCACTCATTGATATTATCCATCGACTGTACCTTCAGATTTGCGGCTGCATGACCAATCTTTAATGTTATAGTCCAACTCCGTCCTCATTGAGCAGACAAAACCTAAAGTATAAATACAAATATTCACGGCTATCTCCTTCGAGGTGTTTCTTCTCGGCAGCAAAAGCTACACCGTAACATGACTCTACCGCGTAAGCAGCATATTATATCTGTGTATGAATATGTATGTATGAATGATGACTCGGCTTCGGCGTCGGGGGTCGTGGGTCGATTCCCACACGGGACAACTATTTGTGTGACCCACAGATAGTTGTTTCGTATCTGGGTGTTTGTCCGCGTGAAATTTATGTTTGTAAAACGTTCTTACAACACAGGATTATGTTATCCTAAAGTAAGGGAAACGTTTTGTTTTTTAAGAAAAGAAAGAAAGAAAAATAATACATGTATTTTCCAAAAAAAAGGCCGCAAAACAAAAAAAAAAGAAATTTAACAAAAAAATAAAAGAAATAAGAAATATAGTTAAAAATAGCCTATCTATGAATGTAGGATGTTATTCTTCGACGTATATCAGGGAACGTGGTCATCAACTACCTGGGCTTCTATTTGCTGTGGTGCGTAGCAATGATCCTGGAACTGCAGTTCGCCTTCACGGCGCTGTCAGTGCGCGCACGATTTCAGGCGGTGAACGATGCTCTGGCGTTAACTGCGAAGATTGTATCCGCACCAGGTAATATAAGGGACAATAATAAACAATAATAAAAACAGTAATAAACTTTATACAGAAGAATCCTAATTACATTTAAATTTATTTCTGGCACACACTAGGCAATGTCCTGTGGGGGTTAGTACTTGACGATTTCCAGTATAATGCGGCACTTGTAACAATTTATTAAAATATAATTTTAAACCAAAATTCTTCCTATATGAGATAGGAGTAACTAGTTTAGCCTAGGCAAAACTAGTTTGGCCCAAGCCCGATAGAATAGATCAGTTTAGGCTAGGCCAAACTAGTTGATCCTGATATAAATATGCACACTCTAGGATAAACTGGTATGACCTAGTCTTAACATTATAGTATATCTAGAAAGTCAAAATAAATAGATAAACTGAATAAAATACTCCGAAATTGGAAAAAAAATCATTTTTATGAAAACCATAATTATTCGTCGTTAAAAGTTATGGATTATAATATAATAAATTAGTAAATGTTTTTAATAGAAGCAATAACCATATCTCAATTATTAAAATTGTTATTTATTTTTACATGGTTTCCTTTGGTGGCACTTAGAATTGCAGAGTATCATTGCCTTATTGCACTGGCATCTGTTTGTGGAACAGTTTTTGTTGCAGCTACATCTCATAAAACCTTGGCCTGATCCAACCGAATATTTCGTAAGTGCAGTCCTTAACGATATTTCAGAGCCTGGGTTTACATCTGCTACCTCTAAAATGGAATGGCGAGCGAGGAGCGGTGGGGGAACTCCCGCATGTTGTACATGGGCCAAACTAGTTTGGACTAGGCTAAACTAGTTACTCCTACCGCGTATAGGAAGAACTAGTTTAGGCTAGGCAAAACTAATTTGTCCTGTAATGGGGTTTCGCCGGTAATATGTATACTGGAGCGGTCCGTCCCGGAGTCCCAGTCAGATTTTATATATATTGGAGCGGTCCCAGTCGATTCAGATGTGTCAATTTATTATCTTAATTGTTATAGTTCTATTATCTGCAGTTTTATCAAATTAAAAATTTGAAAAATGGACGAAAATTTTTTTGCCGCTGCGCTGGATTTGAACCTACGTCCACCTTTTGATTATGGCGCCAAGCATTGCTTATAATGCAATAAGAAAAACAAAGTAGATAGTAAGTCGAGATTCTTGTGGCTGTGAAGATGTGCCTTTTAGCTCAGTTTCAAGAGCGTCGAGAATCGTACCGGAGAATGCAGGTTCAAATCCTCGCATCGGTGAAACTGCCCGTCTATTTTTAAACAAATTTTAGAAAAAAATGGTATTTTTGACCATGCGTGAACAAGGAGACATCCTTTGGTATTCATTTCTTTTTTAAAAAAACGATTGCCACGTTTCATTTATTTATGGACATATTGGACATTCACGTATCACATTTGATTATTAAAACGTTTACGAATAACGTCTAATATTGACCTTTTTGATATCAATGGAGAAATGATTAAAGATACCCTTTAAATTTTTCCCATTTTCGTATAGAACCCAATATATAGTCGAATCTATGCAATTATATAAACCGTTTATACATATTGTTATAGTAGAATCATTTTATAGAGTTCGAATTTAAGTCATATTCATATTTTACAGCATCATGGAAACGTAGCGTTTAAGAACTATATTCCGTGATGCGGTTTTGTTGTACAGCGTTATTAAAATAATTACAGCGATTATTGACTGCTGACAACGTTTTACAATTAATATATGACCTATATAAAAAGTAATCGAACTGCAATATTATTATTAGAAGGCACTAAATTAAAACAAGTTTCCACTGAGATAGCTTTTTTTGTCTTTATATATGATTAACTTCAATCTTTATGAGGCTAAAATCTCGGTTCTGAATCGGATAATGCCGCAGTAGACAAATAAAAGTACATGACTATTCGACAATACAGAAAGAGGCTATACCGTAAAGGCCCATTTACACGATGCCATTTTCTTGTACATACAAGAGCAATAATTGAATGCAATAAGTTGCACGCAATAATTGACCATCAAGAATTGTAAGCAACAGTTTACACGCAGATATAGTAAAAAAATTGAATGCGATTATTGAATGCAAGTCTTGACAGGAAATAATTGCAATGGTCTTTTGTTTACACCAATGCAATTATGTTTAGGCGATTATTGCTTTCAAGTTTTGACTTGTCTAAACACATGCTTGTATGTGCGTGTACAATTTATTGGCGTGTTGCTTCAAGTATTGCACGTATTTGCGTTGACAAATTTTTCATGCAAGTGTTATGTTTCATGTTTTCGTTTTACAAATGGCTGTTTTTTTTAAAAATGGCTCAATAATAAGTGTTCAAGTTAGATTATGCCGATTAAATATATTTCATTGAGATTTATTTATTATTCATATTTTTATCCAAACTTTTTTTACGACCTTTTCTCAATATTTCTATCCTCAAAAGAACAGCAATGATTAAATACCGTCACTCATTGCACTAATTTTTGCAAAGGAAGAGAGAATGCAATCGAATACAAGAATTGCTTAAGAAATTATTGTGTGTGCTGTTTACACCAAGGAAAGTTTTGAAACAAAACTTGAAGCAAGTCTTGTTCAACAGTCAAGAATGTTATGTGCTGTTTAGACAATGCAACTCATTTATTGCTTCAATTTAATTGTATATAACAGGCAAGAAACTTGCACCGTGTAAATGGGCCTTAAGTAAAACGGTGATAGGTAATCTTGCATCGGTATTAATTGACAACTCGCCCACTCCTATAAGCCAAAACGTGATAATCTTCCGTATACTCATTGCCATAACGCTAAGCTGGAAAGATCAAATTGAGTGCCCGCCAGAGGGTCAAAGCGTCCTGCAGTGTAACTATCGTCTTAAGAAACTGTTGATGCAAAAAGAATTTTTAAAACAGTGAGGAAGCATCACTATCGTCTTAAAAATGTGTTGATGCAGAAAACCTTTTTTTTTTAACCAGTGAGGAAAATCAACGACCCACCCCCATTGAACGTGCTGGCGATCCGCGTGGCCTCGACGGAGCCCCGCCGCTGTGCCAGCGTCGGCCTACTGGTAGACACCCTACATGAACAGGACCAGGGCGTTATCATCCGGAACACTGGTGATTAAAATAACAATCGATCGTTTTCTCACCCGTCTGCCGAAGGAGAGTTGCTAACGCACGTCTGATTCTCCGGTACCCTCAACAAACAAGACCCCCCTGAAGTATTTCAACATATTGTCGTCGAAATTTTGGCTTTTTTTACTTATCTGCGTTTAGTGCCTAAATTTTGGCGCGTTTGAAAAAAAAATAATGAGGGTTATCTTATCCAACGCGTTAACCAACTATTGCATATGTGCGCAATAACTTCAACAAGCTCGACCTCATTGCACTTGGGAATGATGCCAAAGACATTGACTGGGACCCTCTACTGGAAATGAATGATATCACGACAAAAATTTCTTATCTGAACACACAAATCCTCGGACTATATGACAAGCACGCACCAGTGCGAGCAGTGAGATTGCGTCGCCCACCTGCACCATGGATAACCGATGAAGTGCGTAGTGATATATATATATATATATATATATATATATATATATATATATATATATATATATATATATATATATATATATATATATATATATATATATATATATATATATATATATATATATATATATATATATATATATATATATATATATATATATATATATATATATATATATATATATATATATATATATATATATATATATATATATATATATATATATATATATATATATATATATATATATATATATATATATATATATATATATATATATATATATATATATATATATATATATATATATATATATATATATATATATATATATATATATATATATATATATATATATATATATATATATATATATATATATATATATATATATATATATATATATATATATATATATATATATATATATATATATATATATATATATATATATATATATATATATATATATATATATATATATATATATATATATATATATATATATATATATATATATATATATATATATATATATATATATATATATATATATATATATATATATATATATATATATATATATATATATATATATATATATATATATATATATATATATATATATATATATATATATATATATATATATATATATATATATATATATATATATATATATATATATATATATATATATATATATATATATATATATATATATATATATATATATATATATATATATATATATATATATATATATATATATATATATATATATATATATATATATATATATATATATATATATATATATATATATATATATATATATATATATATATATATATATATATATATATATATATATATATATATATATATATATATATATATATATATATATATATATATATATATATATATATATATATATATATATATATATATATATATATATATATATATATATATATATATATATATATATATATATATATATATATTCTTCAATGTTCTTACCACCTCTATGCTGATGATCTTCAGCTATACTCACAATCGCTCACTGGTGACATTCATACCGCAATTTCTCGTGTTAATGGTGATCTGAGTCGTATCTCAAGCTGGTCCAAGCGCTTCGGAATAACTGTAAATCCCAACAAATGCCAAGCAATTGTCATTGGTAGCCGTCGACTACTCTCACGACTTGACATGTCTAATTTACCACCTGTCCAGTATGAGGATTGCGTTGTTCCTTTCTGTGGTAGAGTTAAGGATTTAGGTTTAATTATTGACCCATCTATTACCTGGTCACTACATATCACTGAGATCTGTCGCAGGGTAACAGGCATACTTCGTTCCATATATCGCCTTAAAGCCTTTTTGCCTTCCTCTACTAAGGTCCTTCTTGTTCAGTCCCTTATTTTTCCATTATTTGACTATGCTGATGTCTGTCTTACTAATATTTCCCAAGAGTTGCTGAACAAGTTGGAGAGATTACTGAATAATTGCATACGATTTGTTTTTGGGCTGCGCAAATATGACCACGTGTCACACTTCCGTAACCAACTAAAGTGGTTGACGATACGCCAGCGCAAAGACTTTCGTATCCTTTCTACTCTGTTTTCAATCCTTTATGACCCCTCCTCACCTTCCTAGCTAAAAGAAAGATTTCAGTTCCTCGGGGACTCGCATTCCCTCAATCTTCTCAAAATTCGTTACTGTCTGTACCCTCTCATCACTACGGTTTCATGTCAAATTCTTTCACTGTCACTTCAATCTTACTTTGGAACAGGTTGCCTGTTGACCTGCGACAATCGCCAACAAAAAATATTTTTAAAAGAAAACTGTTTGAGCATATCCTTGCTGAGTCTTAGCTACTTAATAGTACTTACTATGTATGAAATTCTGAAATGTATTTATGTGTATATGTATGTATATGTATGTATATGTATATGTATGTTATATATATTTTGTATGTATATATATATATATATATATATATATATATATATATGTTTACGTTGGCAGTTTTTAGATTTATTACCTAATTATTACATATTATTTATTTAATTATGTATCGTATATAACTACTTTACTGCCCTTGACATTTTGTTTCTGTTCTACCTAGGGTTAGCTGGTAGAGAATGCAATATAGCATTAAGCTCGCCTTTGTACAATTTTCTGTGCAATAAAGATTAAATAAAAAAATAAATCTTTTTACGATGCGCGCGCTCTCCCGACACCGACATGATGAAGTTGGTCGCACAACGACACTTACAATAACAACTTGTTGACATTTACTTATAATTCCAAGTTATATATTTAATTTTTTTTAGCGAATGTTGCCAAGCGAGCAGACGGTTCACCTGACGTTAAGTGAATACCGCCGCCCATAGACATCTTCTACACCCGAGAGTTGCAGATGAGTTGACAACCTTTTGAAAATTGGGCTCCGGCTACCTCACTCACCAGACGAAACGCGAAAGTATTTGTCATTTTTTATATATGACGTTCCGTTAAACACGTTCGATATAAAACTTCCACTTTACGCAGGTTCGAATCCTGCAGCGCCGTAAAATAAAATATATTCTTTTTTTAAATCCTCTGCTCTGCACTTCACACTGTAATCGAACGTAGACATTACGAAAATTTGTATTCCTTGAAGTACTTCACTACATAGTATAAAACAAAGTCGTCCCGCTCTCTGTCTGTCCCTATGTATGTTTAGATCTTTAAAATGAAACGGATCTTGTGGTGGTTTTTTTACTAGATAGAGTGATTCAAAAGGAAGGTTTATATGTATAAAACATTGCACCCATACGAAGTCGGGGCGGGTCGCCAGTAAGAACTATAAGAAGAAACGCTTAGTAGTAGACGGAGAATTTGGAACACCAAAAGGGATGGAGATAAGAGTGAAGTAGTATAGAATAAGGCGACTTGAATTAAATGCGATTCCTTCCCAGTCTCCGAAAGGTATCCTATGCTCACAACTGGTCGAAAATAAATATAGTAGTAGTCGACGATAAATAAAGTAAATCGATTTCATATAAGTAAGGTTATACTATCTCTTTGAAAGCCTTCTCTCTCTGATTACCTCTAAATTTCCAGTAACAGGAGAACCCCGTCTGGTGGTACCGCCTTGCGAGGCGATACGCAAACTGGCGTGTCTACACGGCGCTCTTTGCGACATCGTGCAAGCCCTCAACCGCAGCTACGGCCTACCGCTTATACTTATACTCATATCAACGCTGCTGCACTTGATAGTGACACCGTACTTCTTGATCATGGAGATCAGTAAGTAGATTAGGGTTTTTCCCACGAAAAGTTTCTCGAGAACTTTTTCAGCGTTAAAAAATTCCCTATTGATTGGAGATAAATCTTTTTTTCAGTCCAAAACTAAAAGCATCATAAGTTAGACGGACGAACAAAAATTCAACAACTTTCTAGTCATCGTAATATTTTGGAGTTCAAACGGAGTCTTTCGGAGTAACAAAAGTATAAATGATAAACGAAACACGAAATAATTAAACCTCAGAAAGTTGCCTTTAACTTTGTTTTTAGTTCTTATCAGGATAATTTTTATAATTGCAGTTGTATCAACGAACAGAATACACTTCCTAGTGCTACAGTTTCTGTGGTGCGCTACGCACATGCTACGTATGTTCGTAGTGGTGGAGCCCTGTCATTACACAATATCAGAGGTAGCTAACATGATGATTATTGCTTGCTTGCTTTATCCGTAGACGTTTTTTAGATACTCGGCTTCAATATAGGGGACATATTTATACAGTTGAACTGGAGAGCCCAGCAGTGGGACATGTAAAGGCTGATACTTTACTTATTTTTTAACGAATTTTGTTTTTTATTTGTTTTTTTTTTAAATATCTATGGGTCACACAAATAGTTGATTCGTGCGGGAATCAAACCACGATCCCCCAATATCAATGAATAATTACTGAAAAACCAAAACGAAGTATTTCATGAATTACCAGGGCAAAAGAACCGAGGAGCTGGTCTGTCGGCTGATGAGGTCGGCACCGTCGAGCGGCACTCTGCCGTCGCGACTTGAGGTGTTCTCGCGGCAGCTCTTGCTGCAGTCAATCGCCTATTCGCCGATGGGAATGTGTACGTTGGATCGCCCTCTGGTTGCATCCGTGAGTAACCGATTTCGTCTCGTATTTATTTAATTGTTTAATATTTACTGACAACTTTCATGCAAACAGCATTAAGCGTATACAGCGTGTCTTTACCATCGCGACAATAAATGAACACGCATATAGAGGATAACTTTTTAAAATTGTATTAAAGATTTACATTATTTAAACATCAATATTTAACGAGTCATCATATTTTCCAAAACAAAGAATTTTAGAACACCCTTACGTGTAAAACTTTAATGTAAAGTTCATTTGTAAAGGTCTCAAAGCATATGAACGGAGTAAATGAATTTAAAAGAGACAAAACATACTGTTAGAAGGAGAGGCTTGTATTGCGTCGCTGTTGCAACGAATGAAAAAGTCTCTGAATGTATGAATCAGTCAGCTGTAGTTGTATAGGTGTTACAAATTTTATTTCTTTTTTACTTAATTAGTTTGTTTGAAAAATGTTTTTTTTTTTAATTATGGATTTTTTAACGTTAATATTTTTATTTTATGATTATTGTCAAGTAGCGTTAGACGTGTATTCATTTATTGTCGCGGTAGTAAAGACACGCTGTATAATATATACGCTTAATGCTTATATACGCTTATATAATATATCTTGAAAAATGAAAACTATTTTAAGCAAGTGTGAACTGTGGTAAGCCATTATTCGTCCAAGTCTTGCCCAAATAGTGAATAAAATTACCCAAATATCATAACACACCTGCCCATATCCCTAGTTGAGATCTTATACCGATAGATATGTAAATATTATAGATATAGATATTATACCATATGAATCATGTTGTAAGAGGTCTTGGCTATGTATTTGCGACCTTCCTGACATCAACCGGTCTTGGGTCAATCACCCGGACCAGTGACAATTATCTGCGTGGCACACAAATGCCTTTCCATATTGAAATTGAACCCTCGATCCCCGATGCCCAGATAATTTTTTTATGCGAAAAGTTGACAAACGAGCAAACGGTTCATCTGATGTTAAGTGAATACCACTGCCCATGGACATCTGCCACACCTGAGGGTTACGGATGCTTGACAACCTTTTGAAAATTGGACTCCGGCTACCTCACTCACGAGACGAAACGCGAAAGTATTTGTCGTTTTTTATATATGACGTTCCGTTAAACACGTTCGATATTAAACTTCCACTTTACGCTGGTCTTCTGTGAGGTCGTGGTACTTACCCGGACGGGCCTGCCCATTCGTGCAACAGTGAGGCTGCTGCGTGGCCCTACAACCGGATTATCATGTCGGATAAGCAAATATAATGTAATAAAACTCTGGGAATCTTTACTCCTAATTAATCAAAAATAATTACTCAGGGTGAAGTTGCTAACGTATGAGCTTACGTGTGTACTAACGTGTGTACCAGCTTTCATTCATTGCTGTTGATCTGTTGTTTGTAGTCAAACATTGTTAAATATGATTTGTTTCTGCGTATATTCTGTTGCTATTTTCTTCATAAACTGTATCAATAGCGATCCTTTAGGTGCCTTGTGAATTGCGGATAGAAACGAGCACCGACCGTGACACTTTTATTACCGTAACAAATCGAGCTAACCAGTATGAATACTATCTATGTAAAGTGAAAAATTTATCAAAATATCCAATAAGCGCAGTCAATATTTATAATATCCATCAACCAACCGACTAACCAAGTACAATCCCCATTAAATTACTTTGTACATACTTATCTACCATTATAGAGGCCGTTACTTCAGACTTCTTATTGAACAAATGCTTATAATGTTGATATTTACAGGTACTTGGAGCAGTCACTACGTACTTAGTTATTCTCATACAGTTCCAAAGATACGACACTTAGATAAGTGGAAAAATTATCATATTAGAATATTGATTTACCAATAAATGTCATTAAATTTCGATACGATTAAACTATTAACAGTCGTTCAACACGAAGTACAAATATAAATAAATTTTTTTAACACCACGATAGTAATATTTTTAATTTTATATCATGTCTTACAACAAATTAAGCCATCCTATTCATCTTTTTATAACATTTATTGCTTAAACTCCGTAGCATTTATGTACTGCAGGCAGCGCGAAATAAATGTTTATTATTATAAAGAAAATAGTGTTTTAATTCTATAAAAATATCGACGTTTTAATACGTGTATCTTGTATCTTGTATTAACTGATGTTTTTGCTTTCAGTCCCGAGACTATTAAAGCTTCATTTGACGCAGAACCGGTGGGCTAGCCAGAACCCACGGGTTTGGGCCCTCCGCTGTGGGTAGGGCCGCGCATGTGCTCATGCGTGCGTTTGTTTAACTACGACATGTCATCTAAGGGCCATCGAAGTTGCGGTGCGGACCGAGACCCCGATGGCCGTCGACTGTGTTTTTAGCTATCGGTGGCTGGGGGCGGTGAGAACCGCCCTGGAACGCGGGAGTACCTTGTGTACGCGTTGTGTTGGTCTCGCCGTGCTCGGAGGCGAGGGCGAACTACTGTGTTTGTTGTTACACTAGCTGTGGGTGTAGTGTTATCCGGCGGGACCCCCGGCGTTGGATCCGGCGTATCTAAGTCCCCTTCCTCGACCGGGTCGATGAGGACGTTTAGCGGGCGACGCTTGTTGACGTTCGCGTTTGTGTCGGGTTGGTAATTTGCTGCGCTTACCACCAGAGGGTTGGGATGATGTTCGGCTCTATCGAAGAACCGTTTGGTCAGGTCTTTAAAATATTCGCGAATCGTCGGGAGTCTGCAATCGCTGTGCAGATCGACGTTGCGTTGATACCACTGCGCACCGGTTGCACGGCGGTTGAACTTATTTTGTACTATTTGCAGCTTGTACAAGCGAGTAGGGTGCGTGTGGGCGAAGATCATGCATGCGTAGGACATTATAGGTCGTACGCAGGTCTTATATAATAGTAATTTGTGCCTTAAGGGCATTTTACTTTTAGCGTTAGTTAAATTGTGTAGCCGGCCGGAGGCGAACGCGGCTCTATTACGAACGTTATTAATGTGCGTAGTAAATGTCATACGCGAATCGAAAGTGACTCCTAAGTATTTGACCTTTTTCTCCCAAGGGAGCGGTTGGCCATAAAGGGATATTTGCCCCAACTTTCTGCATTGGCGAGGACCATTATAAAGATGTGACGGGTAAGTACTTCGTGTGAAGTGAATCGCCACACTCTTTTCGGGATTTATTTCTATTCTCCATTTGCGGAACCAATCGCCGAGGCGGTCGGCGGCGCTTTGGAGTCGAGTAGTTAGTATTCTAAGGTTGCGGTCTGAATAAAAGAACGCGGTGTCATCCGCGAAAAGCGCGAGATTGACGTGTGGGTCTTTGGGTATGTCGCTCGTGTAGAGCGTAAAGAGCAAAGGTGAGAGGCAGGAGCCTTGTGGTACGCTCGCCGTGAGGCGGCGGCTTGTGGAGAGGGTGCCCTCGACTCGATATCGAAAAGAGCGATTCAACAAAAAGGCCCGGATGGTGTGTACGAGCCTATCTGGCACTTTGAGTGTGTATAGCTTGTAAAGCAAGCCGTTGTGCCAGACCTTGTCGAATGCCTTTGCGACATCGAAGAAAAGAGCCCCTGTACTGATATGTTTCGGGTGGTTTAGGCCTTTTAGGATGTGCTCCGTTAGGCGGTATAACTGGTCGGGACAAGAGTGTCTAGCTCGAAAGCCGAATTGTTCCGTCGGCAGAAGGCCGTTGGAAAATACGTGCTCTTTGAGCCTGTTTAATAAGAGCCGCTCGTAGAGCTTCCCCAGGCAACTGAGGAGGCTGATGGGACGATAGATAGAGGGCTGGTTGGCTGGTTTATTCGGCTTGCGAATGCCGATAACCGTGGCTTGTTTCCAGTCGTCCGGGAAGGAGCAACTAGAGAGTAGAGTGTTGAAAATGGTCGCCAGTAAACAGATAAGCGGCCCAGGGAGAGCTTTGAGAATTTTGTTACTGATATTATCTGGGCCCAGGGCGGATTTCGGTTTTAAATTTTAAATAATATCTTGGAGTTTTAATACGTTTTAAAGCCATCGCGCATGCTTCAAATTCCAGTGTTCTCAACTGAGCAATTGTTTTCACTTAAATGATAGTATTTTGTTCTTTTTTAATTGTAATATTTTATTAAAAAACTAGTGAAAACGTTTCTTTTCTAAAAATCAATTAAAAACACTAAGAGCCATATTTTGATAGGTATCCTCGTAGATATATTCTCCTATTCATTAATTTATGTAAAAATAGGTTTTTAGCATATATTTTATGAAAGTAGGCACTAATTCTGCCGCCAGGTCTCGTATAATAACAATGATATCAAAATATCAAACAAAACTGTCCTATCCTATCAATATGTTTTACCAAGCATGTCAAATTTATGCGAATATAAGCGTATGTACGAAAAACCGCCAAATTATTAATAGTCATATATTAAAAAATAAAATTTAACGATATAAGATCCATAAACTAGTACCGTTAAATGAGATATATGGGCACAAATATAAAAAAAAACCAGTTGTTACATCATATAAAGTACATATACATCATATAACGTATGGGTACAGATAATAAAAAATGCCGGTTAAAATTGTATATTTTATTGAGATAAAAGTAAGTTATTAGAAAAATCACCGACGCATCGACACTATATCGTAATGGCCGTCTATCGACCAGCATTACGACGCTTCGCAATTAAATACGTGATCCAATAGTCCGACATTCATAGGAACATTTGCACCTTAATGTATAACATCTACCGGCGACGACAACGGCGGCGTGGGTTCTTAAGCGCAGTTCAGATAAGCCATTAGTACTTCAAATAAAAAATTATAAGTAAAGCAGATCGGGAATTGATTGCGCAGTAAACCGTCTTGCTATGAAACTCCGTCGAATTGCGAGCTGTCGCTCTAACCCATACGCGGAGCGAGACGGGTGATCTTATCAATATTCATTGGTGGTAAAATGAAAAGCTGTTTTATCGAAAATCCTCAGACAGAACACAGATTCCTCCCAATGATGATCCGCGAGGCTATCGAAGAAAAAAGAAACAACTGTCTGCCCCGTCACCATGAGCGCTGGAAAGGTTTCGAAACTTTGGAACCTTTTTTAAGGCAAAGTAAAACGAGATTAGACCCGTCAAATAGTTTCATTTAACCATGTATAATATTCGCGTCGAAAACAAAAAAAAACACAAAGTAAAAAAAAACAAAAAAAAAAGTGACCGAATCCGCCCGTCTGCCTGAAACCACATCCAGAACTAAAATATAGATCATTTCAGCTAAAATATTTTCAGACGATCACATAATATAATCAATCACAACAAACAGAGAAATCCTTTCAAAGGGCACTGTACAACGGTCGTGTTAGATTAAATAAGAAAACAAATTTTCCTCTTAGTAATGTTACGTTACAATATACTCATCTCATAGACACATTTAATAAATTTTGCGCATATCTCATCAGAGCTACCAATGACGAGCGATAAAGTATGTACTTCTTTCGGGAAAGACATAAAAAACAACATTTTGTTAATCACTTCATCATTAAGTGACCTCGAATTATTTCCAGTCGAGACCAGCTCGCGTGGCAGTGAACTTTTTAACAACCCACAGTCAGACTGCATAAAGGGTACAGATCTAACACACCTTTTGTGGGTAGTTTTAATCTTTTTTCCAATGGAAAAATTCACCAAAGAATAACGCTTTATGTATGATACAACTCGAACATGATCATAAATATTAAAACATGTAGAAAATGATCATAAATACCTAAATATTTAATTGTTGCCGCAACAAATTCCAAATGTGACTCAAGAACCTCACGCCCACATTGTGAACGGGAGACACAAACAACATACATAATCTAGAATCGCCCTTAATTTCACAAAAATGTTAATGCTTTCCGTTAACACCTAGTCTCCTGTACACATAACAACATCCCCCCATATAATCCATAACAAATTCAACTCTCAATAAAGCTATGTTAATTGAATACTGTATTGGGACGGAACATAATAAATATTTTTATTGCCTTCCAACTGTTATTATTATATGAACATAAAACATATGAGATAACATCGCATATTGTTTAAGATGAATACATTTCTTATTGAAGGACCCCATCAAATTGGTCAGATAAATCTAAAAACTTCAAAGAAAAATTTAACTTTAAATGACCACACATACACAATAACATTGTATGTCCTTTCATTCCACTTAATTTTTTTAAATGATATTTTTGAAACTAGAGAAACTAGCTCTAGAGAGCAAAGCAGTCGGACAAACCTTGTTTTAAATAATGAAGTGCACTTTTGGTTCATACCTTTCATTGACCTCAGGCACACAAATAGGAAGAATTCACAGTAATCGCTTAGATACCACACCATACTACTACAGGGAGTTGTTATGTGCACCTAGAAACGTTCAAAATCACATACTGTTCTGGATAACATACAAAATCTTTTACAAAGTAATTTCATTAGAGTCATTTCTCTACTCACTAGTCTATCCATTAATATTACAGAGAACACTAAACATATTGTGTTGATTGTACTATAAGTATAAACTCTATTATACTTCTCAATTTTGTAGAACTATACACTTTGCGCCTATACAATAAAATGAAAATTTTTATAGTTCAATATCGACAACAGTTTGTATTCAAGGTATGTAAGGGATAAAAAATATATATCAATTATTCAGGACTCACTATAGTAACTTGTGCATATGTGCAATCCTCCGATATGGTCAAAAAGTACATAAACCAATATAAATGGCATAGCTAAATATCTATCTCTTACAGCTACCATGTTATACATACACGAAATTATATCTTTATTATAATAAACAATCATATGAAGAAATTGCACTTACAAATATCACTTAAATAACTTTTAATACTTTATCAATCTATACCTTCTATAATATCTGTTTGTTAACTACTTTAAATGCAACATTTCGATTCGAAAGCACTTTTTATTCTTAGTACAACTTAAGAAGCGTCAACAGAGTTGATTTTTCATCTTACTCAATCACATTCCAGGTGTTCTCACTGAAACAAACTCTGTACTTTCAATTTGGGCAAGTATTGCGGCTCCTGTTTTATAATTTTGACCTGAAAAGTTAAATAAACATTATAATTAATCTATGGCGCAGTTGCCAAGACATTGGCTTCGGCGTCTTAGGTACACAAAATAGAGGACTTTTTTGTGGACTTAATTTTCATAAGTAACAGCATAAGATAAGCTCCACTGGGTTTCGAAATGTAGTATTCATTGCAAATAATTAATTCACTTTCATGTTTGGAAATTACAAAATATACTTTAAAATTTGTCTCGATCTCGATAAATCACTACAATGCATACCTCATCGTATATGGATGAGTCCTTCAGGTCAAGGGGATCTTTTAAATTCTGAAAAAAAAAAGTATTAAGTAATTTCAAAACATCTAGACAATTTCATTAAATTTTAAATTAATCAACAATATCATAGAGCTAGCAGAGTCTAATAAAGAGTATAGTGACTGGCAAATCTGGGAAAAGCATTCGGTTGCGCAGAAGTTTTTTGTGAGCGGTGGGCAGTTATTATCCAGCCTTCTTGTATTAAATGATGTTTGTGCTTTCAGTCCCGAGACTATTAAAGCTTCATCTGACGCAGAACCGGTGGGCCAGCCAGAACCCACGCGTTAGGGCCCTCCACTGTTGGTAGGGCCATCGAGGTCGCGGTTCGGTCCGAAACCCCGATGGCCGTCGACTGTGCAATTAGCTAATCGGTGGCTGGGAGCGGTGAGAACCGCCCCGGAACGCGGGTGTACCTTGTGTACGCGTTGTGTGGGTCTCGCCGTGCTCGGAGGCGAGGGCGAACTATTGTGTTTGTAATTGCACTAACTGTGGGTGTAGTATTGTCCGGCGGGACCCCCGGCGGTGGGTCCGGCGTATCTAAGCCCCCTTCCTCGACCGGGTCGATTAGGACATTTAGCGGGCGGCGCTTGTTGACGTTCGCGTTTGTGTCGGGTTGGTAATTTGCTGCGCTTACCACCAGAGGTTTGATGATGATGAGAACAGGTGATGATGATGATGATGATGATGATTATGATGATGATAATTATGATGATGATAAAGATGATAATGATGATGATGATGATGATGGTGATGATGATGGTGATGATGATGATGATGATGATGATGATGATGATGATGATGATGGTGATGGTGATGGTGGTGGTGGTGGTGGTGGTGGTGGTGGTGGTGGTGGTGGTGGTGGTGGTGGTGGTGGTGGTGGTGGTGGTGGTGGTGGTGGTGATGCAGAAGAAGGCGATGATCTAGACGAAGAGTGGGCGGGGTGGCCATTCTCACTTTGGGCGGGCGGCCCCTCCTGGGCGGGTGCGTGTGCGTGCGCGTGAGCACGCGCAGCTGGTGCGCGCGCAGCAGGTGCTCGGTGTGCTCGCGCGGCGACGCAAAGCGGGCGCCGCACGACGCGAACACACACGCGAACTCCTCCTCTGCAACAGGCCACACGTCCACACGTCGCAGCACGGCCTCGTCCGTGATTGGACGAGTAATGAATACGGGTCGCCGCTATTGGCCGACCAATAACAATCAAATCAAACGTGATAAACTCTCGTCTGTGATAGGGCGAGTGATGTATACGGGTCGTCGCTATTTGCCGACTAACAACAATCAAATCAAACGTGATAAACTCTCGTCTATGATAGGGCGAACTGTACACGGATTCGGCCACTATTAGCCGGCTATGCTTGCAAAGTTGATTCAAAGTCAAAGGGCGGGCCTAGCCACGGCCCGTTAGCAATCAAATCGCTCCCAATTAGAAAGCCAAGTGATCAGTTGGAGGCACAATGTCGAACGCAACGGTTGTGTCCTGTCCTGTGTGTGCTGAGTTAAATTAAAAAAAAAAAATATTTCTATCTCACTAAGTAAAAATAAAAGAGGTTCGGTAATTCGTGGCGGAAAAAGAAAAGTAATTTACAATGTTTTTAAGTCTTTAAACAGTATGATTTAAATACGTCAGTGAATAAGTATAATACAAAAGACAGCAACTGCAGTTGCAAAAAATATCAACTGTATGTGCTAGAGAACAGTTTATAGTATTTTAGTGAACAAAAGGGAACCAAAGGATACATACACTCACTGTCGTCAGCGTCTACGCCAAACAGTGGACTATGAAAGGTTGACGAAGCATACGATTGTACTGTCATTGATTGTACATGGATGATGAAATGTTGACGACGCACACACTCAATGTAAACAGCGCCTACATCTAGCAGTGGTCCACAAAGGGTTGACGATGAAGCACTCACTGACGCCGTTCGCCTACGTCCAGCAGTGGACGACCAAATGTTGACGATGCATGCACTCACTGTCGTCAGCGTCTACGTCTAGCAGCGGACGACCAAAGGTTGGCGAAGCATACACTCACTGTCGTCAGCGTCTACGTCTAGCAGCGGACGACCAAAGGTTGGCGAAGCATACACTCACTGTCGTCAGCGTCTACGTCTAGCAGCGGACGACCAAAGGTTGGCGAAGCATACACTCACTGTCGTCAGCGTCTACGTCTAGCAGCGGACGACCAAAGGTTGGCGAAGCATACACTCACTGTCGTCAGCGTCTACGTCTAGCAGCAGACGCCCAAAGGTTGACGATGCATGCACTCACTCTCGTCGTGCGCGGCGTGTGCATCCTGCGCGTGCGCGACCACGTGCTGCGCCAGGTGCTGCCTCAGCGCGCCCTCGCCCGCCAGCGAGGCGCCGCACACGCCGCACGGGTGCTTCGCCCCGCCGCGCAGGGGACTCCGCACGTCCGCGTGCGCCGCCCGTCTGCGAGTTGAATTCGATCACGACTTGTAACGTACGGCTACGGACTCTTCGAATACAATTTGTAACCGTGGTAGGGCTACCGACTCCTCGAATACAATTTGTAACCGTGGTGGGGCCACGAACTCCTCGATTACAATTCGCAACCGTGGTAGGGGCACGGACTCCTCGAATATAATTTGTAACCGTGGTAGGGCTACGGACTCCTCGAATACTTTGTCACCGTGGTAGGGCTGCGGACTCCTCGAATATAATTTGTAACCGTGGTAGGGCCACGGACTTCTAAACCGAAAAGCGACGTGTGAACTTGGGACGCTGCCACGCAAAGATTGCCCTAACCTGCAGAAGAAATGGCTGGGACATTTTTGTGACGGTTCTTAATTTTCCAGTTTTCAATTATATTATATAATTATCTATATTTATTTATTTATTTATTTATTTAAAGAACGCCAACATAATGTACACTATTTAAGACTTAGGAAAATAAATATACATCAACTGTTCGTTAGTGTCATTACAATTAAAGGCGCTGACAGCATGCAATATAATGGGCGATAAATACAGTTAAAGATATTTTTTTTGTTACAAAATCCAAAATTAAAACAAGAATTAATAAATTAAAAACAAATAATTGATAAAGGAAATAACAGTAAAAAACATTAAAGACAGTGATAAACAATGAATTTAGGTATGATTATGCAATAAATTTAGGTATGATTTATACATGGACTAATAATACTATTTAAGTTTCTACAAGTACATGGGGAGATCAGGAAATCTGTTTAACAATAAACCAGGCGAAAACAGTCAAATTGAGTAACAACAATCCGTGATTATTAAAGTAATATAGTATTTTCGGAAAATAATTTTAGCAATTCTTTCTTTAGCTTGGCGGCACTATCTGAAAACAAGTCCGATGTAGAAGTTCTCGAGATGTTATTGTAATTCCTAACCATTCTGTTTAAAGGCGCTTGCTGTCCAAGGTTGGATTTACATGAACAGTTCGAGAAAATATTAAATCTAGAGCGTCGGGGCAGCTTTGAGGGAACGGTAAAGTTTAAAAGGGACAGCAGATAAGGAGCATCAATAATGCCATTGGCAAGCTTTTGCAGGAAGAGAATTTCGAGCATTGCCCTTCTATCGCACAGAGAACTAATTCCGAAATGTTTCAGTCGATCAGAGTATGACGTAATGGTTTTCCCCAAATTACAAGAGTAAGTCAGGTGCCACAGAAACCTTTTTTGAACGCTTTCCAGTCTTTTCGCGTAAACGTTATATTTAGGATTCCAAACGACGCAACTATACTCTAACCCACTGCGTACGAGAGCATTGTACAACAATATCTCGATCTTGGGGCTTTTGAAATCTTTAGTGTTAAGGCTTCTAAAACCTTTAGAACAAATGTTGTCTATGTGGAGATTAAATCGCATTTTGCTATCGAGCAACACTCCCAAGTCTCTAACATGATCGACCCTTGACAACTCCTGGTTTTTGACGACGAATTTGCAATCCAAATTAGACATTTTTCTGGAAAAGCGCATCACAAAGCACTTACGAGATGTTTAAATCCATCTGATTTTTATCACACCAAGCCTCTAGACGGACAAGGTCTTCTTGTAATAAAGCTGAATCTGAGAAGGTATCAACGATTCTAAAAAACTTCAAATCATCAGCGAATAAATAATAGCTTGTATTAAGGAAGCAGTCACTAATGTCATTTATGAAGACATTGAATAAAAGTGGGCCAAGATGAGATCCCTGTGGGATACCAGAACACACAGTGAAGGGATCAGATCTGTAGCCATTGACTACAACCAGGGATTTACGATGCGACAGATATGAATTGCACCATCCCAATAAGGGTTCGCCGATACCAAACGCAGAGATTTTTCTTGCTAAAATTTGATGACTCACTCGATCAAAGGCCTTGCTGAAGTCAGTGTAGACTACTTCCACTGATGAGCGAGAATCAACAATCAGGCTTACGTCGTTAACAAAAGATACCAGGTTAGTTATGGTGGATCTGTTTCTGATAAAGCCATGCTGCTGGCTGTGAATGAAGTGTTTAAAATGCCAAGTCAGAAGAGGGTGAAGCAGCTGTTCAAACACTTTAGCAAATACTGGGAGGATAGAAATGGGTCTATAGTTTCGCACATTATCTTTATCGCCATTCTTAAATAATGGGACAATTAGTGCTGTCTTCCAATGGGAAGGGAAGGTGCCAGTATTGATGGATTTATTGTAGATGAGGTATAAAGGTCTAGCCAGAGCCGAGGCACATTTATTCACAAAAATTGCTGGTACTCCATCAGATCCAGCACCCTTAGATACATAGTCTTTTTAAAACCTTCCAAACCTGGTCGTGTCTAAGCTTGATAGAGGTTATGTAATTATTGGTAGATAATGTTTGGGCGTAAGTAGTGTATGTAGAAGCAGGGGTGTCGTGTCTATACATGGATGAAAAGTAATCAGCAAACAGATTGCAAATACCTTTGCCATTCGTAGCTGTGTTATTGTTTAAAGTCATTTGAGCTGGATAGTGGCTAGTCCCTCCTTTTTTGTTTTTTATGAATGTCCAGAAAAACTTAGGGTTGGAACGTAGGTTCTGTTCAAGCCCGTTAATGTAATTTTTGTAGCATCGGGTCATTAATTGAACACGACGTTTCCTTGCTAATTCCAAGCAAAGTTTATCAAGAGGATTGTTACTAAACTTTCGTAATTTATTTTTATATTTGAGTTTTTCTCTCAACATTCGTTTCAAGTTCTGTGAAAACCAAACGGGATATTTATTCGATTTAGGATGAGACCTGGGAACATGGATTTCGATAATATCTCTAAGGCACTTGTGAAATTCATCAAGCATGTCATCAACCGTTTTACAAGTTTGAAATAGGTCATTCCAACGTACCTTGCTGAGGTCCATCGTGATCTTATCGTAGTCAGCCTTAAAGAAGCAGTAGCGAGCCGAGAGGTTACGCGGTAAATTATTATTATCGTAGTAAATGGATACAACAAATTCCAGTGGTGGATGCAATGGGTCAACGATGGATAGAGGGATACTAGTAACACTGAGATTGGATACATTGATGTTGCTCAATACCAAGTCTAAGATTTTACCTTTGTTGTTTAAATTAAGATTGAACTGTTTTAAATTATTCAGCTCTACGAAATCCAAGAGAAGGGTAGAGTATGTACTATTATTTGCGTCCATGTATGTAGTGGCGTATTTATTGTTTGAACAGTTCCAAGTTATTGATCCCAAATTAAAGTCTCCTACAAGTATTATGTTCGAGATATTGTGTTGGTCCAGCACTCTGGTAGAGTTATTAAGGAATTCATCTAAGATATGCCTCTGTATAGGTGGTGGAAGGTAAATTGCACACAAGTAAAGAAGTTCCTTACTACCGTTATCACCGTAACACTCTAATGCTACCCAGAGGTCTTCACACTTAGACTCAAAGCCTGTAGTCGCATAGAATTAAAGCGTCTTGAGATAGCAATAAGTACACCTCCACCATTTTTTTTCTCGTGAAATCCACTAGTTTCTCTATCGCGCCTGTAAACAGAATAGCGATAGTCGAACAATTCAGAATCGAAAATACTGTCATTTAACCAGGTTTCACTTAGAATCACAATATCATAATCATTACAAACAATATTATTAAAAAATTCGATTGTCTTAGTTCTCAAGCCCCGTACATTTTGATAGTAAATATATAACATTAATAACAAAACAGATGCAAGCCAAAGAGAAAGTAATGCTATACCTATAAATGTATATTATTATTTTTTTATGTTAGGTTCTTTAAGATGTCCCCGTCCTTCACGAAGATAAAGCTATAGAAACACTTTGCCGTCACGCACCCACACGAATTTGTAATTTAGTTCTCTGGCCTTGTGCCGAGCAGCAGCATGCAGCAATTTTGTATCCGAAGTGAGATGCTCTGACACGAATACTGGTGTTGTCTGGTCTCCACCAAAACCTAAGTGACCTGTATTTAGCTTATTGTCTTTGTTGTTTTTATTGTACTTAATCACACCAGCTAAGAAAGTGTCACGTAGTCGACGAGAGCCAAATTTTACCAGGATCGAACGTGGCCTAGGACTGCTGGTGTTAAATTTCGCGATGCGATTGCAGTATTGCAGGTCGAAGTCCGTTATTGGACACTTAATTGTGTTAGCGAGTTGATGTACTATGCTATACAAGTTTTCGTTTTTTATGTTCGGGTACGCACTGTATTTCTAAATTGTTTGCACGAGATAACTGTTCAAATTGATTTAGGCGATGACCCAGATTTTTGGCAGTGCTCTGTAATAACTCGTTGTCTTTTTGTAGTTTTACAATTGCAGCCCTTTGTGTCTCACACTCACTGGTAATCTTGGACTGTTCTGCAGTGAAGAAGGCTAATGATTGCTCCAAATTGTACAGCTTTGATTTTATCTCCTTCACCTCTGTGTTGAATTTTCGATCTAGCTCTTCTCTAATTATTTCTCGTATAATATCGGCGGATAAGCAAGTACAGGAACGAGAAACACTACGTGGTCCTGAGCGCACAGTAACGTTGTCGTGTTCGTATTGTGATACTACAGAAATATCAGGGTTCTTTGATGTTGAACGAATTGGTGTACTTGAATTGTCGCCACGTTTGGGCTCCTTACAACGGCAAGATGGACACACCCAGGTTTCCTTGAAGTCTTTAGTCAAACTATTGTAATCCTCTTTTTTGTAATTAATGCAAGTGTAGTGGTAATTGTCTGAGCATCTGCAGCACTTTAAGAACGATATTCCTTTTAAAGTATTAGGGCAACCAGCGCATCTTTGAATATTCATTATTGAAGGCAATTGTTGTTATTAACTTATGATACCAAATAACTTATTTACAATATATTTAAATATATTGTAAATTTTTTAAGAGACCCTGTACTAAAAACAAAACGTGATTTCTACTAGTATTAACATCACATGGTCGAATTATGTGCGCATCGCACAACGACCTTGGTTCGATCGGGACTATATTCGATTGTCGTGCGGTGAACGGTGCGCTGCACATATCATTATAAATATGTGTAACCGCACACATATTTACATACACACACAACATAGTTTTCATTCAATTTTTTTTTAATTACCAGGGACATGGGGTCCATGTTCCATTCAAACTCAACAACTGGGACAGTGTGATAAACATAGCGTTCGTCTGTTGCGCAGGGCGCGCCGTACAGTGCGATGACGCGGTCGCACTAAATACGCTGGTCGGTTACAACCTTACTACTGCACGTAT